AGCTGTAAGCTAATGATAGTTATATAAGAGCAGATGCTGCTGGTGCAATAAGCTGTACGTTTTACGTCCAATGGATGATGATCTGATTAGTCGACTAATCGCAAAAATAATCGGTGACTAGTCGACTATCAAAATAACCGTTTGTGGCAGCCCTAGTTATCACCCATCACTACTCACCAGTCACAAACTATGAGGCCCTGAGCACAAAGAGAAATTTTAGGTTGTGTTTGGACACTTCAGGCCTCAACATGCTTTAAACAGAATCATTCTAAGGCTGGAACCCTCTTTTAAACCATCACAAGCGCCACATCCTGCTTCTTTAAAGCACAGACTTTAACATGTTAACAGCGACAACAACAGGAGACAGCCGGAAACAAAATAAATGAATTCATTAAAAATAAAACCAGAACTAAACAAAAACATTTCAAAAATGGTTTAAAAATGAGGATTTCTTTCAGGCCAGAGTTAACCTGGAGTGAACACTTTGTGAGATGTTCTTTGCTCAGGAGTCAGCAGGTGGTATCTGAATGAATCCAAAGCACTGATAAACACATGGGAGCCTACAGACTTCTACAGAGACCCCGTCTACCACACATCAACCTGGTCTAGAAACCTTCAGAAAATTCAGATCCTCACTGAATTTCCTTTTTAACCGAGGACTTCAATTGCAGTAAACTCAAAGTGAAATCGACTAAGCTTGGTCCATGTCCTGGAAACCAATCATTGTGGGGCCTTGAGGCAACCGTTGTGTGATTTGGCGCTATACAAATAAATCTGAATCTTCACTTCTAATCCTTGTGTTTGATCAGCTTTGAATGTGTAGGTCAGCATCCATGCTGATTGGTACGACCAACAGCAGCTCCTTGTGTTGCGGCTGCAGCAGGTGGAGCTCAGACCCAAACTCAGGTCAGTGCTTAGAAAGTGTTTCCAGTTCCAGGTTAGAGCTGCCACCTGTGACACACTGAGCCACAGTTTCACTGCACCGTGTCTCGTGTCTCTGTCGTTTAGGCCAAATTAAACAAATTTTTTACTGTAACTTACCTGTTTGGCTGTAAACATATTTTGTGTCTTTAAATCTTGCCATAAAGACAGTGATCAGGACGAGCACTGCAAATCTAACAATGGTACGTGTCAATTATGTCTAAAGTAAAGCAGCCAAAGCTCCTGGCCTGCCAGTGTGCATCCAGCCTTCACGCTGCCATCTTGTGGCCTCAGTTGGTCATTGTTGGTGCATCATTCTGTCACCTCCCAGCCCATTGTTCCTTCACTGGGCTGGTTTCAGTCATTATGTCCTGTTTATAAGGTTGAAACCTGCAGTCAGCTGAGACTGAGGACGTCACCTGGATGACGACGAAACGTTTCTCCCACTGAAAACGTCCAGATGAACAGAATCAACTTTTGGAGATTTCCTTACCTGGATGATTGAGCGTGCATCAAGACGTAAGGCAGAGTAAGTCGATTTGTTGATCAGTTATTAAGTCATGTACTAACAGACTTGGAGCAGAGAGACCTGATATTTAATAATCCACATTTCACTGTGTTACTCTTTGGTTCAGATGTGGATACTGTATTGTTCTTTCTTTGTGATTGTTTATGTTTAAGTTGTTTGTTGCTGGTTTTTAGTTTGTTTTTTGTCTGTTTGGGAGCTGACACAGTCTCTATGGAGATGGGTTTTTGGGGGTAGCAGGAGGAGAGAAGCTGCAGAGAGCAAGATGGCAGTAAAGTAAAGAATGGATGCAAACAGGCACAAAGCGATAAATGATGGAGAGAGCTCAGTTTGCTTGGCTTAATGTGTCTTTGTACACATGGCACGTATCCTGATGGAGCACAACTTCTAACAAAAAGTGTCATCAGACTGTGACCTCACAAACACACTCATGCTTCTGTGTGACAACAATCACAATCAGGGTGGTGTCAGGGTGCAGGCCTGTCCTGATAACACTTCAACAACAAGCTTCAGTGCCATGAGACGCTCAGACGAGCGAGACACACACACACACACACACACACACACACACACACGGTCCTGTTTCGTCACAGCGCTGTGACTGCAGTCACTTCAATGGAGCACCATCAGTGAGCTGAACATGACACGCCCACAAATCAAACTCTGACGCCTCATTTAGTGATGGGTCACTCAGTCATTGACAGTGATTATCTATCATCCTGATGGGAGTGGTCTCTTCCAAGCCCCGCCCCCTGCACAGTGTGAAATCGCTCTGGCAGCCCACACAGGTTTTTGTCACCTGTTGTATTTGAGGAAACTTTATTTGAGTTGAGTCAACACTGCAGGTGCAGATCTGATAAGACAAAGAAGTTAATGATAGTATTTGGAAATGCACAGTTCTGTGGTCACATCAGACAAACCTTTTCAGCCAGTTTCTCAGTTGCCTCGTGTCCCTTTGAAGCTTTGCAGCTCAGTTACAAGTCTGTGCACAACACTTATTAACAGTGATTAACATTAAGTATTCTTTACTTATTCAACATTAGCAATTATCACAATTAGAAAGTACAAAAAAAATACCTATGCTGACGCACACAGAATGTTCCCATTGTTCAAAAGTCTACAGTGTGGAACTGCTCACCCCCAAAAAGACAACAAGACTACTTTTACAACTGGTTAGCGTGGACCAGCGGAGCCTGTTATTTGCAGGGACACGTACAGGATTGTGGCATTCGTGTTGTAAAGACACAGGAAGCCCCTTAAACAACACAAGACAGTCCCATAGATGCCTGCTTCTGCTTAAAAACCCCAAACCAAAAACACCACGTAGCAAAATAACACTTACCATTATACTGTGTGGAAAGTTAGAGCGGTTGCAACAAGCTTTAGGTCGATGTGAGGGACACATGCGTTAGAATGGACACGTGAACTTTATACAAAACGACAGCAGCCAGCAGAAACTAGCTGCACAGACTGCAGTGGGAATATGTCCCTGTGGTGAGGGGCGGCCTGCAAAATGAAGAGCTGATTAAGACAAAAGGCAACATGGCCACCTCATCGCCTGCAGTGCAATACGCAACACTTAAGGCGATAATTCTATCGAGGAGAAAAATCCCTCTCTCTGTACCACTGAAGAAAACCCAGGGGCTCAACCCGCGCTGCAACATCTGCCACCCGCCTGAGAAAAGCCGCTTTACATTTGTCCCTTAGTGTTATCTTTAACCACTGTCAATGAGGCAGCATCCACAAATCACATGTTAGCATATGTGCAAGCACACGGGTCAAATCACTCGCAGTAAAATAAGGCTGAGGTCGACGGCCAGAGTACTTCTGAAGTACAACTCCGGCCGGTTTTGTGGCAAATAAAGGGGAAACCCGTTTGACTGGTGCAAGGGTAAGGTACACATGCTCTGCACTGTATCAAATCACAGTAGTGGTTTAGAAATGGTGCCCTGAGAAACAGCACCAGTACTGTGGGTCACCCCAAACCCCGACCGGCTTTCAACAAGCGGCGTGTTTGTGTCTGCAGCACCCCGACATCTTTGAATAACTGTAACAGTCCAAATGTCAAAGTGTAAACCCCTATGAGATAGAAAAATGCATAGGTTAAAACAGTGTGTTCATACAATAGAAAACAAAATGATTAGAAAAGTATAAATCCACACCAAGGCACAGTGAAGAGCACGTTTACAACAACACCTTGGTAACAGTCACTGATAGCGGCCTGCATCACCCCCTCCTCTCCAGCAGGATACAGGGACACTATAAAGGATGCTCAGGAGTGTGGGCGTGGCCTGAGAGAGTGAGGACTACAGGTCAGTTACATGGGTCTAAGGGCAGGAAGAACTCAGCCACAGTGGGCTGTTATAAGTTACAGTGAACACGCTTGTTAAGCAAAGAAGCACAGGGGGGAGTGGCCATAGTAGTGGTTGCTTTAATACACAGTCAAGTTCAACAGTGAGGGGCAGAGCCAAATCCTGGGTGGGTGAAAGCAGTGGCGCTGTCCGCTCCTCCTATGGCTGCTGAAAGAGACACTGCAAGCCATGTTCCCTTTGCCTCCGCCCTTCCCTGCCGCGCTCCCTCACTGCAGCATCAGCTGCTTGAGGTTGTCGTGCAGGATGGTGTCCTTGACATCACGGAACACCAGCCGGATGTTTTCAGTGTTGATGGCTGTGGTGAAGTGGTGGTACAGAGGCTTCAGTTGCTGCGGAGGCTTCTGTTGCTGCTCGCGACGCTTTTTGCGAAAGCATTCCACCAGGAAGCACTGGACATCCGCCAAACTCACGGGGTCACCAGAGAACTCGGGGAAGTAGTCTTTGATGGACACTTGCTTCACCTTCTCCCCCAGCAGGTCCGTCTTGTTGAGGAACAGGATGATGGAGACATTGCTGAAGACCCGGTTGTTGACTATGGTCTCAAAGATGTTTAGTGACTCGCTCAGTCGGTTAGTCTGCCGGTCTTCCATGAGCACCTGGATGTGTTAGAACGCAGACATGTGGTATGAAAAGCAGCTCGACTCAACCAGCAGAAGTAAAATAGCAGGATTTCTAGTAGCTTTCACCATCGCAGCAGCGTGCACTGTGACGGAGCCATGCTGGATGGTGGTATCATGGGCATCGATCACTAAGCCTCTAAAACGTCTAGGAAAATCAACTTTGATGTGGTTTTGGAAAGTTGAAGTCTAAAATATGATGTCCTGTTCTCAAACATTTTAATGATGGTAAGCACACCCACCAAATCTGAGCACAGAGTGAGGTTAAGGCCGACTGTGGAGTCCAGCCAGAGCACTGCAGGTTAGCTGAGATCTACAGATGGATCAGTCTCTACGTTTGTCCAGCTGTTGGCTCAGTCGGTTCCTTCATGCATATCCTACTGGGGCACGCTATCTAACTGCATCACCCTGCATGGAGCTGCTGCTGCCCTGCAAGCTGCTTTGCAACCCCCCTCTCCCAAACGCCTCCATTTATTGTTATACATACTCGTTATGTAATCAGCATCACTGCACACCACTGTTAGACTCAAAGCTGCTTCACCACTGAACAAAAACATCCCTAAATGACATTAACCAAAGTAAACAAAGCAGGATACTTAGTGAAGGTTTCCATGAAAAACACCAGTAGACAGAACATCAGAGGGTTCGAGACAGGCTTTCCAATCAATCTGAACTCAGTAAGAAGACAAAGATCCAACTAACTGCTGTTAGCTGAATCTTTAGCCAGGTTAGCATACTGAGCAACACTCTGCTTCCACATAACTTACCTGGTCGTACTCAGAGGAGGACACAAGGAAGAGGATGGATGTGACCGACTCAAAACATTCAAACCAGCGCCGTCTCTCAGAGCGCTGCCCACCCACGTCCACCATTTTGAAAGGCACATTCTTAATCTCAAAATCATACTCGTGGATGCCCTTGGTGGGTTTTCTGGCCAGAAGGATGTCCTGCTGGCTGGGAAGGTAGTCCTGCAAGCAGATAAGTGTTGCAGTGTGATATGCTTTTGTCAAGATTTACACCAAAACGTTTACATTCACTGGTAAAGTTGCACTGATCTACTTAAGAGTTACTTAAAAACACAACAAACAAAACAAACAACTGTTTTTAAAAGAAACTCAGAGATCAGCTACCAAAAGAAAAGATGACCTCCCAATGTGCCAATCCTACAGTCCTAAAGCACTGGCTTTAAATTCCATGCATTGCTGTAGAGGCGCATCAACCAGGACAACCCACAGCATGCAGAGCCATGCAGAGCCGTGCAGAGCCATGCAGAGCCAGCCCAGCAGTGTGGTTTGATTATAGTGAACTCAATCCCTACTGATGGACAAATCACCCCCATCCCCAGACTGTTGTTGCTCTGTGACATGCCAATAAGACTGAGGAGCTCCTCAAAGTACTCGCACCACTGTCCACACCCTCAGCACTCAGCGTCTCCCTTCAAAGTCGTCTGACGTTTCGCTGTCAGACACAAAAGGCTGCTCTGTGGTCCTTAAAGAACTTTTACTTTTATTTATGCTCTTTATCTAAAAGACTAAAAAAGTACTTTTGATCTATACACGGCTCTGAATTGCAGGAATATCCAAAGAAAGTGGCTAAATAAACACACTAACTAATGCCACACACCGAACCAGACCTGGAAAACACAACGTTCTGGGATTCACAGTTAATCTCTGAATGCTAACGCAAAGAAAATATCACCAATAACCTCCCAGATGAGACCAGACATGTGTTGTCATAGTGCGGGAAAATCCCACTGCCTTCTGATGTCCTTAGATGTTGTCAGTGTTTGTTTTTCCACATTTGAAAATCCAATTATGGCACATCAAAACTTTGGAAGTATAATCTGATGTTCTGCATTTCATTTACAGGTTTACTGATATCAGCATATTCGATGCAGAATTACAGTGCATGAAAAACTCTTATGATTTATGTGTGCATGTTCGGCTCTTGAACACAGATGACACAAAACGCAGTTTTTAAATAATGATTTCATTTTTTACAGGAAAAAACTATCAAACCGACCTCGCCACGTGTGGGAAACAAAATCCAAAAAAACAATCCACTCCCTTATTAAATCACGAATAGACTGTAATGATGGATTGGTGGCTGGGTCGATGGATTGGTGGATGCATGGGTGCGTGGAGGGATGGATGGATGGGTGGCTAGATGGGTGGATGGCTAGATGGATGGGTGGATGGATGAGGGATGGAGGGATGGGTGGATGGATGGCTAGATGGCTGGATGGATGGGTGGATGAAGGGAGGGATGGGTGGAGGGATGGATGATCTAGTTTCTGGGAAGCCCAGTTCAGTTTCAGTGCCAGGCCTCGTGAACTGAGCTAAACATGTCCAAGAGTAACTCACGGTCCAGTGAAACGGCTGAAAAACAAACTCATTCGTCTCCTCGTCACAGCTGGATAGTTTGAAACTGCTGAGTTAAGCTTTTAGCAGTTTTCAGTTTTTGGCTAAAATCGTCCACATGTCTGAGACTTTGTCCCTAAATGTGTAAAATAACACACAAAGTTGTGTTACTACACTTTTATTCTGTTAGTGTGTGTTTGGGACTTACCGACTGTCCGAGCTTTTCCAAATTGTCCAGGAAATACTTGACCGACTCCCCCTGAAAGAGAAAGAGTGGAGATCCATGTCAGACGTGACACATGAGACCCTCCTCTGCATGGGAGGTATTCGCATTAATGTCATTTACTTAATGGGATACCACCCATCCTTTTTCTTTTAGAAAAATACATTTAGCTGCTTTTAGACTGATGCATCCACAACACAATCCTACAAGGTTTTTAGAGCCAAGCTCATGGATTAGCTCGAGCAGCTGAACAGTAGAAACCGTCCATGTAATGGGACTGCCTGGGAGTCAGAGCCAAATAATAAAGCAGTACCTGTATGACCCAGTTCAGCCAGTGATGCTAAACCCAAACCATCACAGCTTTGTTGGTGTCTACGAAGCCCTGTTGTATCCTGCAGGTACGCAGCACTCAGACTGCATCTTTGTAGGTTTCCTCTCTCATTACTGTCTCAAGCCATGGATCCATATTACTAAGCACTGGAGTAGGGCTGGGCCATATTATACCGTTCACGGTAATACCGGTATAATTTTAAAATAAGATATCACGATACAATATGGGTAAAACACACATGCGCAGTGCCTTTGTTTTCATACGCACATGGTGGAAAAAGCATGGCGGCGACGGAGAATGAGAAGGGGGAACGCGGATCGTTGAGTGAAACAGATGAACCAGAATTGGTTTGTAAAAATGGTGCAACTTCAGTGATGTGGAACTGGTTTGGTGTTTGTCTGTCAGATACACAACAAAGCACAGTTTTTTGTAGAACATGCAAGCGGCCGTCGTTATTGCCGTATTTGTCGCACTAAGGTGCTCGTAAATCTGGGAGTAATCTGGGTCCTAAACTCCGTCTCTTTAGGTCCCAAAGTCAAACGAACATCACTGAGAGTTAAAAACGGTCATAAAAATCATCAGCGTTGCTGCTTTACCAGGTGTAACTATGAAGTTTAACTTCCAGGCATCCATGAAAACTGAATTTATTACATTTAAGTTAGAAGTTAGCAGGAGGCTAGCGGAAGTTAGCTCGCTAGTTTACATAATATTGCATGCTCTGACTGAGAGATTTCTGAAAAGATTCAAACGTACAGCTCTGCTATCACTTCCAACATAAATGAAGACAGGAAACTAAACAGCAGTGA